CTGTATTCGATGCACCCAGAGGAACGGAAGGCAGGATCGCAGCTTCCTCAGTGCAACCTCCAAACAGGAAATCTGAGATGCATAACATCTTATAGTTTGGCTTGTCAACGTTGGTCATGCGGTGGCCCCAAAATAAACTCCCTGCTTCAAAGGAGAGCGTTTCAGAACTGCCTGGCAGAGCAGCCAGAAGCTTGGGGCCAGGGCAGAAGGAAAACTCGGGGAGCATGTTCTGAATTCAGACACTCTCAAGAAAATCCTTTGTATTACCCCTGAATTGTACCCTTGTTTCAGAGCCTAACAGGTAATGCATGCTTTCAACTTTCTTATATAGATCTTGCAAAAGATTGTTTGGCTGGCTGGGATTTTCAACTGCAGTACTTACTGGAAACCTCTTGTAGTCAAACTGCGATGTTGCTTTTCCCTCTCTCTCGTATTTTCTTGAGTTATACAGCATGCTGGTGACTTTCATTTTGGATGCAATGAACAGAGGCTCAGCAATTTGCACGTACTTACCCATTCTTCTGGAGGACTCTCGCTCAGAATATCACTCTGCTGTGCACTTCTAAAAATGGAAATGCAAGAGGAGTTATCAATGATGCTATTGTTGGGTCCGTAGGTCTTGGGCAATATCTGTCAGACAAATGATTTTCAGAAATGCTTTCAGGTCAGGTGCACAGATAGAGGTTTTCATGAGTGGGAGTTAATTTAATGTAACTGTTGCAGAGTGCCTAGGCATGCACGGTATTGTGGGAGACCACAGAAACCAAGGTGCCATGGGCTCTGCTTTCAACTGCTTGGGGTTAGGAGAGGAAATGGAGGAATGTTATTTATGTGAGATTTAACAAAGCTGTGGAATGCAGGGATGCAAGAATACCATGCATGTGTGTGCACACGCATATGCATGATGCATTTAAGGAGGCCATGGCCTTTGAAAGGATAGGTGGGATGCCTCAGGGTGGAACCAGAGACTTCTAGTTGGAGGAGCAGCTTGGGCAAAGGCAGGGAAGTCAAGGGACCTGGGGTGATGGTAGAAAGTGAAATGTGGCTCTGGCAAAGGGTCCTGCACGTGAAAAATGGGGGTGAGGCTGGAAGGGGAGGCCAGAGGGAGAGGCAGATGCTTCCAGGCCAAGCAAGAAGTTGGAACACTTCCTGAGAGTTTTTGAGCAGAGGACAGCACACACATAGCCACACGCACTGAGCATCCGGGATATGACGGGACACAGCCAGGCACCTACACTGCCACCCGTGTGTTCACATCTCAGGCCCCAGAATTGGAGGCCCAGAAACATTACTTGGTTTCTGGTGCCTCTAGGTGGAGAATCATTTTCATTTCAGTGGCCCATTTCCCTTGGAGGATGTGAGATTTGACTTCGGTGGCTCTTCGGGAAGCCAGGGGTATGAACTGGAATGAGGAGGCAAGGAGGCTGGTGACTCTGAGGGAGGGCAGGTAAATGAGGAGGGCCTGAAGCAGGGCAGAAGCTGAGCCTCTGCACAGGACAGGAGTGCTCTTCTAAAGATAAGCTTGTTTCGTGAGGTGAGGGCTTGAGGGGGCTCCGAGGGGCACAGACAGATCCAGCTGGGGCCAGCTCCCCCGCCACAGCCCTGAACTCTGCCTGGGCAGAAGCACCATGAGGCAGCCAGTGGCAGATGCTGGAGGCACTTCCAAAACAGTTGGACGGGTCCTGACAGCTGATGGCAGGCCCATGTGCTGCACAGTGTCCCCAGAAGAAGCTGGCAGCGGCTCCACTGGGCGCCATGGTAGTTTGCATCATCTGTTCTTGCACAAACAGGCCGGGTCATGAGTGCCTTGTGGTGGTAGGGGTGGGGGACGCTGTATAATCCACCCACCATGACCTTACAGTGACAACACAGGCCATACCAGCAAGCATTCGTTGAACACTAACCCAAGCATGTGTGCAGGTTTCTCTCATTGACCTCTGTCAAGGCCGCCATGAGTTACAGGTGATTGTTACTCCCATTTTCAGGTCTGGAAACAGGTTATGAGAGCTTAAATGTCTTGGGTAAAGCTGGGCGGCCGTTAAGTGTTGGAGTCAGGAATCTGACCTCTTGGTCTGCAAGGTCCACATTCAAAGCCACAGTGTCCTGTGGCCTCTCGAGGTGCTGTGGCAGTGGTAAACAGGACCATCGCGCACCCAGGGGAAATGTCTCTGGCACAGTCAAGGCATCATAAGGTGCCCGTATATTGTGGACAGGCTAGATCCAAAGAGTCTTCCCAAAGGAGGCACAAAAATATCTCTGGGTCCGCCCAGTGTCCTTCCATTTCTGCGCTGCAGAGGGTCAGTCTGCCCACAGGAGGCGGCTGTCGCAGGAGTGGCTTGTGTCTGTGGTTCTCTTTCCTTAGCACCATCTTTTGGAATAATTAATGCCCAGGAATATGAATGAAGTTATTAAGAGCTTTGTGGTTGAGAGGAATGTTTTGGGGAGGTGGTGCTGAAATAAAAATAAATTGATTCCTAAACTGCCTGTTTTAAAGAATGGGACATAGAAGAGTAAAAAAGGAGAGAGGAAAGCAGAGACAAGAGAAGAGAAAGATTTAAATAAAGGCGGAGTCAGGGGAACTCAGAGGAGAGAGGATAAAAAAAGGAAAAAGCACCTCGCCGATTTGGGTGAGATCTAGCTTAAAAGATTTCCAGCCAGCCCTGCAGGTGAGGAGGGGACTATGAAGGATTCCCCCTGTCCTGCCCGAGCCTTCCCGCTCTGCTGCCTGGAGTTAGAGCCACAGAACCCCCATGTATTGTGCCACTAAGGAACCAAGGTGAGGGTTCACCGTCTTTGGGTGCCCAAGGGACAGAACAGGGCTAGGTGGGCTGCACTAGGACTGGGGTGCTGGGGAGGCTCAGAGGTGGACTGACCAGCCCCATCCACCCCTGTCACCCCCACCTCCAGTCACTGGCACAGATGACAGAGCCTGGCATTTGTAGAGCCCAGGCAGAATATGGGTCAGGGACCTGGAGTCCTGTGTCCTGAGCTGTGAGTGTCTGAGCCACACAGATGCGGGGAGGGGCCAGCCTCTGGCAGGGCCAGGAGGCAGCAGAAGGGCCCTTCACTCAGGAGGTAGAGAAGAAGGTGACCCGTGAGCCTAGAGACTCAATAGCTCAGGGACCCAAAGAAGAAAACTGGAAGCTTGGCCTTTGTGGGTGCTTTTCTTAGCTGGTGGTGTTGGCACTGCCGCAGGTAGTGGGCATCTGGGCCTGTGCAGAATGGATGCTCATCATTGTAACAGGTCACTTTCCACATAAAAATGGGAGGTTTCTCCTGAATTTTTCCTTCTTCCCTCTCTTCCTCTCACCGTCATTCTTGCTTTCTTTATGTAGTGGCATCGTCAATGTACATCAATAAGTAAATAAACTACCAAGACTTTTCATTAGGGTCTTAGATTATTCGGGAGAGATTCACCCAGATTTGGGTCAGCAAGAGGCACTCCATTTGAGATGGAGCCTCAGTCTCCTCCTCTATACAATGGGCACAGAGTGTCTGCTGGCGTGGGAGCAGAGCCAGCTTTGGACAGGTTCAAATCCCTGGTTGTCACCTCCTACGGGGTGATGTAGGGGCAGTCAAACCCCCACTCCGTACAGAGGGGAGAAGAGCCTTGTTTTGTGGAGTTAGCTGGGCCTGCAGCCCTGAACGCACCTCTTGAGTTCCCTCCAGCGGCCCCAGCCCAGCCTTGGAAGCCACAAGGCCCTGACTCGAGAGCCGGGAGCTTGAAATCAGCATCAAAAGGTCTGAGATGACAGAGCCAGTGGTGGTGGTGGCCAGGGGTAAACTGGAAGCTTGGCCTTTGTGGGTGCTTTCCTTAGCTGATGGTGTGGGTCCAAGCAAAGGCTCAAAGTCCTAGCAGCTGTGAGGCCCTAGACACCAGGCACCAGGGCAGCCGGAGGCTTGAGAGCACTGCCCCCACAGCCAAAGGCCCACCCTGGCTATGACTTGGCCACTCATGGGGGTCAAGGGCAAGGTGGCTGGGATTCCATTCCCCCTTCCTTACCAAGGTCAGACCATGTCTTAGCCAGAGCAGAGAGGAAACCTCCACAGGGATGAGGTTTAGGGTCACAGAGGAACTGACTCCTTGCCATGGCCCTTAATATTGTGTCAGAGGGCCTGATGAAGACGGGGCAGGCTGGCGTGGTCTCAACCTCTGTACCACATACATTCCAGGCCTTAGTCTCCTCCTCTGCACCGTGGGAAGACCATTCTTCTCCCTGGTACTGAAAAAGTAAAACGAGGCAACCTGTGAAAGTGGCTTGGATGGAAGCAGGACAAGGACCCACAGGCACCAGCTCAAGTTTTATTGATTAGGTTTTAAAACAACAGGACCCGGGAAGGGGAGAGAACAATGTCCTACACCCCCGAGGCCCCCAGCTGGAAGCATTTCCTTAGGTTTCCTAGGACCACTCTGGATCCTGGGGGCAAAGGCAGATCAGAGAGATCAGTTTCGGCAGAAGGTGAGAGCATTGCAAGGAAGGAGGTCGAGTGCCCTGGGTGCCAAGTAACAGCCCGGTTAATTCCCAACTCCTCATGTGTCCCCAGGCTAGCCCAAGCAGCCAAGTTTTAGGATTGCCTCAGCTAAGGGTCATGTGATACTTGGGAGACCCTGAAGCTTTTGGAGTACATTTATAGAGAGTGTGTATATTATATGTATTTTATTATATAATATATGATTATATTAATCATATATTATATGATTATATATTAATAATTACCTATAATTATATATAAATTATATCACATATATTATAATATATAATATATGATTATATTAAATATAATATGATTATATTAAATATATATTATATGATTATATATCAATATTATATATACTTATATATTATTAATATTATATGTAATTATATGTTATATATTAATATAATTCTATATTATATATTATATTAATATATAATAAATTATTATGTGTATATTATAATATATATAATACATGTAGCGTGTATATAGTCTTTTTGAATATGAATACACACACACACACACACACACACACACACAGAGTCTTCAGTTTGATTCTGGACTTCACTCAAATCTTGAAAAACATCCAGAGGTTGCTATTCGTTGTGTGGGATGAAAATTTGTTGTAAAATCAGATGTAGCCTCTAGTCTCTTCCTTGTCACTTTCTCCCTCAGCGTGCCTCAGTTTCCTCGTCTATACAATAGGAACAAGAATACCCTTATCATAGATTTATTATGTGGTTCAAACTAAAAACAAAGCTGAGAGAGAAATTCACTGCAAGCGAAGGTGTTGTGGTTCCGATTCTCCCCATACCTGCTGCAGTTGGATGTAGTGACCTGAGGTTGACACGTGGATCTGAACTGCAGGCTTTGCATAAGAGCCAAACCTAAAAGGTACAAGTGAACCCTAACCAAAATACTCACGCAGCACTTGCTCTGTGCCCAGCACTGTTAAATGAATTAAGTGCTCACGAAATGGCCACTCTTGTCATTTGTTGGCAGTCACCTCGTGCAGAAATTCAAGCTTCCAAAGTCTAGGGCAGCAGATGATGTGAGCAGAGAGGGCAGGGGGACAGGAGGGTTCCTGGAGAGTGGGGAATTTGAAAGGAGTGGCAGAATCCATCCACCACCCAGGCTGGCTTCGGGGCAGGGTGTGGAGCTCCCCTTCCTCCCCAAGCTCCAGCCCCATGATTGACCCTTGGGGCCACTCAGCAGGCTCTGCGCACAGCCTGGGGAGCTGACAGTCACAGCGGCAGCTTTTGACCACAGCTGTCACGTGAAGGCTGGGCTCGGGACTCATTTTCACTTTCACTCTCAGTCTTGTTAAATGGAAGAGAGCTTGTGGGAATCCCAATCCCTTGGATGGAGCCTCCTAGAGAACCGCCAGCTGGGCACGAGTTTCAGGTAGCATCCTCCCAGCAGGAAAGGTTTAGGCTGTCTCACTCACTTTCTGGGGTCATGGCAGAGAATCGCAGCCTCTTGGGACCTGTGGAATAACACGAGCAGATTTTTAGGGGCCACCGGCTGTGTGCCTGCCAGGTGCTCCACATTTATCCTCATCACCTAAATTCTCCTGACAACACCTCCATAGACCAGATGCCATTATTATCTTCCTTTTATAGATGAGTAAAGTGAGGCACCGAGTAACCTGCTCCCCATCACACGGCCAGGAGGTGGCAGAGCTAGGGTTGAGTATAGACAGTGGGGCACTGGGGCCGTGCCACCGTCTACCACTGTGCAGTAAACTTCTCCATGACAGCTGTGCTTCCAAGGGTTTGAAACACTGTCATGATCCTATGGTTCATTCACCTGTCTGTCCAGCATTTATTCAATACCTATTGTGTACCTGGCTTTGGGTTAGTTCCTGGGGTTACAACATGAGTGCAACATAGTCCTGCTCCTCAGAAGTTTCTGGACTTTCTAGAGAGACAGGCCCATAGCAGGCAGTCCAAGCAGTAGAATGCGAAGGGGGCCCTTGGAGGCAGCAGAGGACTCTCAGCCATCAGGGAGGCTTCCTGGTAGAGGAGATGCTCGAGGTGTTTCTGGAAGGGCACCTTCAGGGCAGGGTAGGCTGATGAGTAGTTCCATCCACAAACACAGCCAAGGATGCCAAGTGGCTTGTGCAGCCTCACACGCCTGACCCACGCCCCTGGCATGACCCAAGCCTCTGGTGGAGCTTGGTGTGGTGGAGGATGGCTGCCAGCCTCCTTCTTGGCCCCACCCTCCCAGCTGTGCCTCCTCTAGCCCCAGTTTTCTGCTAAGACATCTGGAGAGTGACCACCTTCCACCCCAGCCCCTCAAACAACTGCATAGACCCACCCCATCCACTGCCAGTTCCTGGCAGACCCTGGCTGCCTGCAAACCTGGGTTGGTGGAGAGGGGAAGGTACTAGGAAGAAAAGGACCACTTTTCAAATGTGATTTTGATCCTCACTATAGCCCTGCCAGGGTCCGTGCCTCTTTTCCCATTTCACAGATGTGGAGACTAAGGCCCAACTTAGAAGAGCACCGGCTCTGAATGAAGCAGGCACCGCTCTGAGTGGATTTACCCAAGTAATTTACGTGGATTAACCTAAGTAACCCTGTCACAGCCACTTTACAGTTGTCACCTGGGGAAAGGTGGGGCTCCTCAAGATCCAATGTTTGGGATCCAAAGAGGGCAGAAGAGGCACTCTTGAAGGCCCTGGGGGGCCAGGCCTCCCCTGCTCCGCACAGGCCTTGGACTAGCCCCTCCCTCTGCAGGCCCCTGGCCTGGCTGGGCAGGGCCCATTAGACTCCTGCTTTCCTTGGGAAAGGGCTATTTTTGATTCCAGTCGGCCTCCCAGAGTGTCCCTTGAGGCTGCTGGCCTCCCTCCAAGACTTAGGCCCAGAAGGCCGCCCAACCCCCAGGCAGAGGCCTCAGAAATCAAGCTGGGCAGCATCTTCATGACAAGGGGAAACTGAGGTCCAAAGAGGGGCAAGGCATCACCCGAATCATTGCCCTCTCCCAAGAAATAGGTGCTCTGACTATGTCCATTTTACAGATGGAGAAACTACTATTCCGGGGGCTCTCCCGGCTAACAACCAGCAAAGCTGGGGTGTGAACTGAGTCAAGCTGGCTCCACCCACTGCTTCATAACCTCCCCCTCACGCTAGGGCTGAGCAGCACCACCTGTCCCCCAGCAGATGCTGCCATAGCATCCCTGACAGTTGTCACCAGCCTACGATTGCATCAGTTCAGGGACGGGGAGTTTCCTGTCCTGAAGCAGCCCGTGCATTGCACACTTACTAACAGCCAGACCCATTGCACACTTAGAGCCAGACCCACAGCTAAGCCTGTACACATGTGAGCCCTTTTGACTCTACCACCAACCCCATAATAACACTTGCTAATATCTCCACTTTATGCATGAGGCAACTAAAGATGGGTAACTTACCCAAGAACCCTTGAAGGCTGGGGACCTCCGTGGGAAAAGCAAGAGATATATGTGGGTCCACAGTGGGGTGGGAAATTTGCCTCCTCAAAGGCAGAGGCCCTCTCTCTCAAGTAAACTCCATAACAGCTGTGCTTCCAAGGGTTTGAGCACTGTTGTGGTCCTGTCATTCATTCACCTGTCCATCTAGCATTAATTAAATATCTATTGTGTTCCCAGCCTTGAGTTAGGTCCTGGGGTTACAAGTGTGACATAGTCCTGCTCCTCAGAAGTTTCTGGAGTTTCTAGGGAGACAGGCCCATAGCAGGTAGTCCAAGGAGTAGACCTTCTCAAGGTCCTGTCAAGGTTAAGCCCTTCTCCTCCTTCTGCATGTACCTTCCATGCAGCAGGCAAAGAGGCTGGTGTGGTGCCCAGGGCACAGATATAGGCCAGGGGGTGCTGGGCAGCTGGGAGGATAGCTGGCTGCAGCTGGATGAGGGCGGGTCTGCTCCAAACCCATGTGTGTACCAGTTGCTTGGGTCAGTGTTCCTAGAATTGCCAGAAGGAGCATTGGATTTGAGGTTGGAAGATCAGGCTTTGAATCCCAGCTTTCTAACTGTCTGTCCTCCTATAAACCCCTCACCTCCCCCTCTAAACTTTACCTGCCTCATCTGTAAAATGGGACAAATAATGTAGGAACATCAAGGTCCTTTTGGAAGGAGAGGGGCTGTAGAGGAATTAATTCAGTGAAAAAGCTTCCTACTTTCCAGGACTGTGTGAGGGTAATGACATGGATAATTGGCCAATGTAAAGTCTCTGAGTGGTGTCAACCCATGGGAGAGGCTTGGGAAGGGCCTGGTGAGTCTGGAATGAGCTGCGAGATTGGTGATTCTGGGTGACCATTACCTGGCTGCCTTCGCCTCCAGGAAGCCACGTGGTCAGGGCAGGGCCTTCCCTGATGTGGTCAGGGAAGGGCCACTGCAGCCGCGTGCTGTCTATGAGTCTCTGGCCCACACCAGGCTGCAGGGCCAGCAGCTGCCTGGAGATGATGAGGGGTCCTCATTAAAAAATCATGTTACCCCTTACAAGCCACCTACACATCTTAGCTCACATATGCTTCTATAGCATAGCGAAGAAGCTTGTCTCGTTCGCATTTTTATTGATAAAGGAACTGAGGCCCAGAAAAGGGGAAGTGACTTGCCTCAGGTCATACAGCTAGTAAGTTGCAGAACTGAAAGTAGACGTAGGGATCCTGACCTCCAGATTCGAGATCCCTCCACTCTCCCCGGTTTTCTGTTCCCCCTTGGCCAATGCTAAGGTGTTTTCATCGACATGGCCATAGGGGATCCCCAGGGACAGAGAGTTTAAGGTTTAACAGCACAGAGCCAAACCAAACATCTCACTGAGTTGCCGACTCTTCAGAACCGAAAAATCTGCGGAAACCTTCCAGCGCCAAATCCTCCTTTTGCAATGAGAAAACTGAGGCCCAGAGTGGGACAGGGACTTAGCCGAGGTCACAAAGCACTTTGGCATTAGCATGGCAATTATAGCTCAGCCTATGACTCTTAGTGCAGTGCTCTTCCCCCTTGTGCCCTGGCTTTGAGCAGACACCTTTAGATGGTGGCACCAGGATGCCAGGCCAGGTCCTGGGTACCAGCACTTCCTGCTAGTTTAGCACCATGTGCACTGAGCCCCTCCCTTGCACCAGGCGGTGGGGTATGTCAAGCCAAACCAGCTCTAGAGAAGAGGAGTGTGTCATACCTCATTGGGCAAAGTCCATTCCCCACCCCTCTGAAGGCAGACCTAGGCCATCTCAGACCTGGCAGGGACCCCAGCCACACAGATGCAGTGAAGGGGTGGGAAGACAGACCTGGGTCAGCTGGAGATGGGGCTCCACCCAGCTGCACAGGTACCTCCTGCCAGTACCAGAGTGCCAGAGGACAGGCTCTACTGTACCCTGCCATTTAACAGATGGAAAAAATGAGGACTCAAGAGAGGAAGAGAGGTGCTCACGGCTGACTTGGGACAGAAACCCAAGTCCCTCAGTTCCCTGTCCTGGGATCCTTTGACAATAAGTAAAACTGCTGCTGCTATAAATAACAGTACTCCAAGTATCAGGCATAAAATGATTATGAGGTCATGACCCTTTCCCTCCCTTAGTGTGGACCACAGAGTGGCCACCTGACATATTAATCTCATTGAGCAGTGTGGTTCTCAACCCTGGCCACACACTAATATCACCAGAGAAGCCTCTAGCATTGCAGTGCCTGGGTCCCAGCCCTGAGGCTTTGAGTTCATTGATACAGGGCTGAACCAGGGCCTTGATATGTTTTCAAGACTCTCAGCCAGGCCTGAGAGCCATCTGTTAAGACGATTTTAACTGTCTATAAGAGAAAACCCAACTGACATTGGCTAAACCACAAGGATCTTCAGTACCTAACAAGGAGGCTAGGGTGGGCAGAACCAGCATTGGTTCAGCAGTTCTGCAACGTAATGAGGGATCCAGAAAAACTATTACTCATTATGCCAAACTCATTGTATCAACCTGTCATTCACTGTCCCCCTCATGGTCACGAGATGGCTGCTGCCACTCCAGGCATCAAGTCCTCCAAGCACAAAGCAGAGGTTGGGGCAAGGAGTCATTTTGTTCACTACTCTCTCTTTTATTAGAAAGGAAAGTCTTCTGTAGCAGCACCCCAGCAGACTTTCTGTTATAACTCTTTGGATAAAACTAGGCTATATTCCCACCCCTGGACTAATCACTGGCTGAGGCGGTGAGATTGTCCCACCTGGCTTGAAGCAGTCATAACTCATCCATGGGACAGGGCACCCTGTTGCCTAGACAAAGTCAGGTTCTGCTATCAGGGAAGATGGGGGAAATGGCCGTTGGGGAGGACCATCTGCAGGATCTGCCACACCCTATGAAAATGGAGCTGTTTGGCCAGCCATGCAGTGAACTTTGACCTCCTCACATAAGGTGCTGGCCTTGGAAAGAGGATGCAGGGTCAAGTCCACCCATGAACTACTGACCACAGCTCAGGAGAAGTTCCTCTTCCCAGAAGGATCTGGGTAGGCTTCCCAGAAGAGGGCACTTT